AAAATAACTCGATTTTAAGAAAAAATATATAATTTAAGTAGGAAAAAATGAGCTCTCTGTAAATTATTTGTCTATTTTATTTACATATTTATTTATGTAAATAACTCAATTTTAAGAAAAAATATATAATTTAAGTAGGAAAAAATGAGCTCTTCTTTTTTTTGAGCTCTTCTTAATTAAAGAAAATTTTATATATTTGGTGTTTTTTTTTTTAATGGTGCTTTATTAGACAGTTTGTAAGCATTTTCTTTTCCAGTTCATCTTCTATAATCCACCCTACGCCTGTCAGACTAATTCAGATATTGGATTTTCTTTGTTAAATTGACAGATTCACTCTTAGAATGATCATGATTATGTTTTTCTATAATTCATTACAAATCATTTTTCTTATATAGACACACTTGTAATTAAAATACTTCTAAAGCTTCTAAACCATCTGACCTTCAGAAGAAAGCAGCCATTAAAATGTATTGTCAATTTGTTGGATTTTAAAGAAACACTTCGGTTTAATTAGATTTTTAGTTCAACATCATTAGGATTTATATATTTAGGGGAAAACATCACTTCAAAACGAATTTGAGCATGTTGTCCATCCTCTGAGTGTTTTTCAACATTCAAGCCTCAATGGGCAACATTGAATCTCAGGAGACTGGTTTCGTTGTTTACTAAATTGATGAGCAAATTACAAAAGAATATCTGGGGAACAGGATTCTCGGTAGGGTCAGATTCCCAAGAAACGAGAGATTATTGAAAAGAGAACCTGGTCCTACTGAGTACCAAACACTAGTTTAAGATGTCTAATTGCCGGCCATCCAATGCAAACACTGACGACCTTTGCCTCAGAGGCTGGCGATGCAGATCCCGGAGCAATCAGGATTTAGAGTTCTCCGTGCTAGGCGCTGCGGGACCACTGTCCACTGTATGCAGCCTTTTCAGGCCTCAAAGCTGTGTGAAGACAGTCTACTACAGTGTATCAGAGTGCTGCCTCATCTGTGTGGGCTGAGACACAGAAAACAGGTAAGGGATTTTCACCGTAGATAAGTTTGGATTGTTCTAGCAGGAGATAAACCTGCTGTGGGCCGTAGTGTCAAATGCCATTCCATTGTGCTGTGTTAGATTTGGTGGTGATTCTGGTTAGATTCTAAAACTGAAAATATGTGAGCAAACACTGGAAGCCATGAGCAGTGAACATGTGGATGTTCTAGGAATTAAATGTATGAAGTGTGAAGCAGGGGAGTCAAGTTCTGAACTCTTTGAAAGAATGTCAAGGAAATCAGTGCTGGGAGCAAGGAGGGCAAGGAGGAAAGGAGAGAGAGAGGTTACAAAAGCAGTTTGAAGACCATGGAACTTCAGGAATTTGGCTATCTCTGTAAAAACTGGAATTGCTGTTTGTGTAGAATAATACTCTATGACTTTTAAGTGTAGAATAATACTCTATGACTTGCCACAAAATATTCACTCTGGCGGTTTTATTGAGTATTTATAAACAAAGGGCAGGGCGGAAGCGGAGAGGTCCACCAGGAGACTATAGAGACACTATGCTAGAGACAATGACACTTTGGGAGGGATCAAAGTCATGTCACTTGTGAGCACTGATCCGATTCTGAATATATTTTCAAGTGAGAGCCACCCAATGTTGTTGTAAGTTAATAAGTGAAGTCTGGGAGTAAGAGGAGTTAAAAATTCAAGGTTTGTGGCCAGAGAAAACGGGAGGAAGGAGTGGCTTTTGATGAGCTGCGGAGGACTGCAAGAAGGCTGGCTTGTGGGTAACATTTCGGTTGCCTATTCGATATGGAGGTACACATTTTAAATAGGGAAGTTGTGTTCACGAGGCTTATATTCAGGTTTGAGGAATACATTTGGGTATGTTCATCAGAAAAGGAATGGTATAAATCTCCAAACTCTAGAAAACTTATGATATTGCAAATTTCCCCGCATAGAAATGCAAATTAGTATTGTCAGTATAAATATAACTGATCGTTGCCCTATGTACCTTGAGAAGTATTGCATCTATTTAAAATTCACTGCAACATTTGTGAAATCTTATTTTGCTGGACTATTGCATAAATTATTCATTAACTGTTATAAGTTCTTATTGGTTTCCTTATTAAATAGTAAATTTGACAAAATCTTAAAAAATAAAGTTAAGACACTGGATGAAATTATACAGGAAATGAGGATAGACAGAGAAGTACTAAGATTCAAGGTCATTATATTGGCCAGTTATCAAATATGGAAATGTTAAATAGCAAATGAATGAAAACAAGCCAGGGATGTAAGTATGTAATCACAGAAGTCAAATGACAAAAATCCATCATGGAAAAGGGAGAAATCATTTGTTCAATGCTGTGCAAAGATGGAGATGATTAGTACTTGGAAGTGGATGACTGATTTTATAACATGTAGGGCAATGGTGACAGTGTAGTCTTGAGATATAAAACTTCCATTGCAGTAGATTTCAGCAAATGGTGAAAATAGAGGCATGTGGGAGATAAAATGCTTTAAGGAAGAGAAGCATTTTTGTAAGAGAAAGCAAGCACATTCAGGATATATTTGGGGACTGAAGAAGCATGAAGTCTTTGTTTTGATGTTCCTCCTATTTTTAAAGCTAAGAGAAAACCAGTGTGTGGACATATTAAATGATCCAGCCAGTGGTGAAGGCAGAGAGGGAGAGGGTTCTGTTGATTACAATAGTAACAATACTTATGTGTTAGGCTGGGTTGACTAGAGAAACAAATCCAGATTCATTCATTTATGTATTTTTTAAAAAGCTTTGTATCAAGAATTATATATATATTGCAGCCCAGCCCAGTCCAACTCAAGTACATAAGTCCAAAACTGGTTCATAAGTCCATAAGTTCCTCTTCAGACTCACACAACCACATGCAATGGTGCAAAATGCAGGAAGATCACAGGCTGGTGGGTGCAAAGTCATGTGGATCCAATGGTGGTGGCTCTGGCCATAATCAGGGTCTTCTAGCAGGAAGGTGAAGCTAGAGAGAGAGGGGCATGTTCCCAGAACCTTCTTTATGAGAAGACCACTCCAACAAGGAGACCTTAACCTGATTGACAGGCTATGCTCCACCCCTACACTTTTATATATCTTCAAGTTGACATGGAATTATGTAATTACTACAACCTAAAATATCTTCCAATTCTTGAAATGGTGAGGCACTTATTGTGTGCTGCAGGGATTTGCTGAAGTGTTTGAGATAGTGCATTCATAAGGAATGAGTGTGTTATTGCTAATTCCGATACAGTGGACTTAGATCCATGGGGTCTATGGATAACAGAAGAAGATGCTATGTAGTCCTTCCATATTGAGGACAATTGATGTTTTTGTCCAGTGTTATGACTATTGTGTCAATCCATTTCTGAGAGGGTTTCCTTTGTTTTCATCGAACCTCCACGTTATCAAGAGAGTGCATAGTGGTTGATGGGGGAATTAGTTACCTGTAGCTTGTTGGCATTCCCATTGGAGGACTTTAATTTTCAGTCTTTTGATGAGAGGTTAGGTAGAAAGGAAGTGGTGGAAGTTAAAAAAAACAATAGTATATATAAAATAGTCATCTTTCTCCTGTGAAGTTGGTGGTAGGTTTAAACCCTTGATTCTTTTGTTAGCAGCCCAATATCTATCAAGCAGAGACACCAGAGCTCCGTAATATGATTTGAAAAGTGAATAGGAGAGAAGCACACAGAATGAAGACTCTGTAGCATTGAGGACAACCTCAATTTATACGTCATAAATCTTAAAATTGACAATATTATGTGTTTTGGTTTTGTGTGTTTTTCCCCTAGTTACCCCAATTGTATGAGTGAAAATGGGATATGGACTTTAAACAGAATTGAATTTGACTAATGAAGTAAATGATCAAAGGAGAGATAATATTTTAAATTTAATATATGAATAAGTGATTATAGAGGTGAACCCTGGTATTTATCAGGCTAAGAAAGGACATTAGTCAAATGATGGATCGGTTAACAGGCTTCTTCTCTGTGTTTTCCTCTCTTTCTTCTCTCTCTCTTTCTTTCATTCTCTAGGTTTCACACACAAGCACATACTGATGAAAGAGTTGATGCATGTTTTCAAGGTTTCAGTAAGAAGGTTTCAGTATACTTTGCATTCCTTTTCAGAAAAAAGTCCACATACGAGAAAAGAACAGTTGATCATCATGTTCTAACTCTCTGTTCCTAATCCACCTGTACACTGAAAGTGTTTGTTGCTTTATCATTAGACAAGCAGAGAAAAATCCAACACCGAGGCTGAACAAAACTGATTTAGCTTTTGCTTATTCAGAATTCACAGAGATGTATCAGAACTTGACTATCACAAATAATAAGAATCATTAAGTAGTTAATCTTGTATTTGGTTTTATAAGAACCTAAGGAGCCCTGCTTGTGTGGTGAGTATTTATTGAGCTGCTAACCACAAGACTGGCAATTCAAAACCACCAGCTGAGCTGCTTCACCGGAGAAAGACCAGGCTTTCTACTCTCTTATAGAGTTACAGTCTCAAGAACTCACAGGGACAGATCTACCCTGTCCCATAGGGTTGCTGTGAGTTGGCATTGACTCCATCGCAACGTGTTTGGTTTGTTTTTTGAGTATATTCTGAAAGCTTAGTTGTTGTTAGGTTCTATGTTTGATTTTTAATCTGAGTCCTTTTTTTGGCCTATATATTAAGAACCTTGACTTTTTTTAAGTTTCAGAGAATCTGAACTAATGGTCCTACTGAAATTTCCTTCCCTGATCTAATATCTGCATTCAATTTTAAAATGTGTTCCTATGAAAGAGAAATTAAATTAAATTAAAATATCTTTGAAGTGTTATGATCTTTGTCCCATAAAGAACTATCGCTAAAAAATTAAAAATTAAATTTAAAGTAGCATAGAAAATCTATTAAAACTTATATTTTAAGTTCCAAATACTGAAAATAAAAAGTAATACATATTTTAATGCATTTCATGCTATACTTTTTTCAATTTTATTTTTCAAAGGCAATGGAACCCAAGAATGTATCCACTGTCACAGAATTTCAGCTGCTGGGATTCCAGAATCTTCTTGAATGGCAAACACTGCTCTTTGCTGTTTTTCTGATCATTTACTTCTTTACAGTCATGGGGAATGTTGTCATCATTGCCGTGGTGAACCAGGACCAGCGACTACATCTACCTATGTATTCATTCCTCAAGCACCTGTCTTTTCTGGAAATCTGGTATACCTCCACCACTGTGCCACTTCTCTTAGCCAACTTACTGTCCTGGGGCCAAGTCATCTCCTTCTCTGCATGTATGACCCAGCTTTATTTTTTTGTCTTCTTTGGGGCGACTGAGTGCTTTCTTCTTGCCATGATGGCCTATGACCGATACCTGGCTATCTGCAGCCCACTCCACTATTCTTTCCTGATGAGTTCTGAAATCTGCACCAAGTTGGTAGCCATTTCTTGGTTGACAGGGGTCGGAACAGGTTTACTTCCTTCCTTGATGATTTCCAAATTGGACTTCTGTGGACCCAACCGGATCAACCATTTCTTTTGTGACCTCCCTCCCCTTATGCAGCTGTCGTGTTCCAGCATTTATGTCACTGAGTTGGTCATTTTCTTCCTGTCAATTGCTGTGTTGTGCATTTGCTTTTTTCTCACACTTGTGTCCTATGTTTTTATTGTATCTTCCATATTAAGAATTCCTTCCGCCTCTGGCAGGATGAAGACGTTTTCGACATGTGGATCCCATTTGGTTGTTGTCACTATCTACTATGGGACCATGATTTCCATGTATGTCCGCCCCAATGCCCACTTGTCGCCTGAAGTCAACAAGATTATTTCGGTCTTCTACACTGTTATCACTCCACTACTTAACCCTGTCATTTATAGCTTGAGGAATAAAGATTTTAAAGAGGCTGTTAGAAAAGTCATAAGAAGAAAGTGTGGCATGTATGCAGTAAGAGTCAAAGGAAGTGTCTTTATTCGGTAAGGAAATGATGCTCAAAATACAAAATGATGAAGTACAGGAACAGTGAAGGGCAGATTCAGAACCTTGAAATCTGGGTTTCATCTTCAGTATAGATATTGTACATGAATTAACAAAAGTAAAAATGAAATAGCTTCTTCATAGTTTCTTGCCAACAACTGGTCAGGAGATAAATTGTCTTTATCAAATTATTTGGAAGCCAATTGTTTCTTTATATACCTACTTTCATCTTTTGAAGGCAACCTGTAAAATGCCAATGGTTCAGGATTATGTACATATAATTTCTAGATTCTACTACAAGAAGTGCCTTGTGTTCACATAGCCACATACACAGAAAATAGCACATCTTTTAAGTTGTTTTATGAGAGTAGCCTTGTAGACTCAACCCCAGTGGCATTGGTACTAATTATATATTTGTGGAATGAATGAAAAACAGTGGTATTTGAAATGTGTTGGCCTAAATTTTCTCCTAGTGATGATAAATAACAAAGAAGGATTTTTGAAGTGCCAAAGGTTTACCTGTAGACTTAAACTTCTTTTAAACATTTTGTTAATATTGAAATTAATGTTGAAAAGGAAGGAAAAAGGAAGAAAGAGACAGAGTGAAGGAGAAAAGAAGGAAGGGAGAAAGGAAAGTTCAAAGTATTATATGCCATGTGTGAGTCCCGGGAGGCAAAGGGCATACATTAAAATAATGAAATTGCTGGGTTTTTTTGTTAATTTAGCCAATACTTAACACAACTTCTACTAATCCGGTCCCCTATTTTATTCATTAATTCCACAAATATTTTTAATGTCTGGCTCTGTGCCAGGTCTAGCGATATAGTCTATGTTGCTGTATTGATTGGGATGTAGTAATAAAGGAGCCCAGAAAATCTCAGCGATAATGGAACTCCATCAAGGGTTGGAATGTGTAATGTACTATCAGGTGGATAAGTGATCATTGCCTATGTGTGATAATTGGCTTGAAAAAGAAACACATCCAGAGCTGGCGCATGAGCATAGAGCCCACTAAAAAACTGATTCTGATTCAAGTTGATTGTGACCTATAGTGAACATATGTAGGATTTCCAAGGCTATATATCTTTATGGGAGCAGATGTTCTCATCTGTCTTCCATGATGCTCCTGATGGATTTGAACTGCCAGCTTCTTGGTTCATAGTCCAATGCTTACCCAACAGCACCACCAGGTTTTCTTGAGCATAGTTCCAAGCTACAAGCTCACTGTCATCAAGTCAATGCTGACTCATATCAGCTCCACATGAGTTTCTGAGACTGTAACTTTACAAGACTAGACTGCCCAGTCTTTCTCCCAAGACGCTGCCGGTGTTTTTGAATTGCTGACCATGTAGATTGCAGCCCAATGTGTAACCACTACACCACCAAGGTAGTACAGTGAGGTCTAATTCAACATGGAGGAGTGGGGGTATAAAGTATTTCTGTGTTTAAGTAGTGTTGAACTTTGTAAAAAAGATGAATAAAATGAAAGAATTGTGCCAGGCAGAAACCATGATGACTGTGGGAATAAAATGCTGAAGAGCAAGGTGGGTAGAAGATATGGAACTAGGGAAAAACTAAAAAGAAAGCCGGGACTAGTCTATGTAGATCATTAAAAACTGCTATGGTTTGAATTTTCCTTCAAAAATAAATGTTAGTGTCCTTTGTTAGTCTTTTTGCCCGGTTGACAAAGAGAATATTTTCTCTAAAACTGTTGTTGTTGTTAGGTGGAAGTCAGTCATTTCTGAGTCATGGAAACGCCATGTGCAGCAGAAGGAAAAACAAGCTAGTCTGTACTGTCCTCACGATTGTTCTGTGTTTGACTCCCTTGCTGCAGCCACTGTGCCAATTCATCTTGTTAAGGGGTTCCCTCTTTTCCACCAGCGCCTCTACATTGCTGTCCTTTTCTAAGGACTGGTCTCTCTTGACAACACGTCCAAAGTGCAGGAAATGAAGTCTTGCCATCCTTGCCGCTATGGGGAATTCTGGTGATATTTCTAAGACACATTTGTTTGTTCTTTTGGCTAACTATGATACTTTCAAGATTCTTCAACAGCACCATGATTCATCCATTCTGCAGGCCTTCTTATTCAATGTCCAGTTTCCCATGCATATGAGGCGATGCTTTTTAACACTTTAAAGAGGTCTTTTGCAGTAGATTTACCCAATGAAGTACATCCTTTGAGCTCTTGGGTGCTGCTTTCAGTGCTGAAAACACTTGGAAGCAGCAGTCTCTAAAGCTGGTGGCCTTTAATTAGGACTTCAATCCTCCTGAAGTGCAAGAGAACACACTCCTGTTCCTTAATCCCAAACACTTGTGATATCTCTGCTATACTAGCACTAAAAAGGATCCCTGGTGGCATAATGGATTGTCCATCAGACTTCCTGCCACAGGTCAGCAGCTGGAAACCACCAGCTGTTGCTCAAGACAAAGATGAGGCTTTTACTCCTATAAGGATTTCCTGCAGACCAGCAAAGAAGCCCCAGAGAGTCAGCCATACAGATTTGTCAGGTGGCTTCTCTCTCTCTCATGCTCTCTCTCTCTCTCCTGTTAATAAATTTTTTCTATTCTAGGAAAACTCATTCTGTACCTCTCAAAGTAAATCTTTATGTTTTTGAAGATAAGAGTCTGAAGCTCCAGTAAGATAAGTATCAAAACTTTCACTTCTCATGAAACCAGCTGACTATATCACGTGACCATATCTGACCTCCTCTGGCTACTCAAAGAAGGAAAATTCAAGTCCACCCAACTGCCCTAAGACAGAGGTCAGATAAGCCTTTCCTCTCCATCTTCATGATCTGGTTTTCTAGCACCTCACTCATGCTGTATCATAATGGACTAGGCTGGGTCGTCTAGAGAAACAAAATCAGTGCCACTCATAAATGCATAGGAAAGAGCTTGATATCAAGAGGTAATTTTACATGAAGAAGGCATCCTCATTCCACTCAAGTCCATAAGTCAATGCAAGCCCAGGCCTTCTTCAGACTCACATGACGGCAGGCCAAAGACGTAGGAAGTTGAGGAAGATGCAGGAAGGTCACGGGGCAGTGGGTGCTGAGTCACATAGATCCAAGAACAATTGAAATATGGAGGAAGGTTGACACCTCTCAGGTTCAGGCAGCATACTTGGTGCCCCTCCTACATGCCAACAGAGTTCCAGCAAAAGGGAAGGTGGAGAGGCAGAGAAAGAGAGTTACCAGTGTTTCAGATGCTTATACAAAAAGGTCAGTGATGCCAAGGAATTGTTATAAGGCTGCTATCCAAATGATACATTAACATAATCTCTAACCATCACAAAACACCTTAATCATGAATTTTGTCTGTGAGCTCTATGTAGCCATTGCAATGGCTTATTCATCTCTCAATATTAAATGATAAATGCCCCCCTATGATTTTTGCTGGGTTTTCTAGGTAAGCAACACCAGTGATATTTATATAATTTACATACCCAGAGATTTATTTTAAGAAAAGAGCTAACACAGTGTATATGCTGATATGTTACAAGTTCATCTGGTTTGATATTAGGCTGAAGCTTCCCTTAACTTACTTAACTTCAAAGGTTGATGAATTCAAAATCAGCAATTCAGATTGGAGCCTTCTGGCTAAAGCGACAAATGAATCCAAGGTCAGCAGAGTGCTGATGATTCCCAAGATTGACAGACTTCCCCAACGAGAACCCCCAGGGATCTACCCTGATACAGCCCTGGGTGCTGGAGCAGCTCTTGGAGACCCCTGCCAGCACTGAGATGCTTACACGTTCACTGATCTGGCTTTCCTCCTGCAGTCAGCGTCATTGCTTGTCTTTTGTGAGATGGAGGAGGACTTTGTGGATTGGTGTCAGATATATGGGTTAATGTTGGACTTGTGGGCTTGTGGGCTTGGGCAGCACTAGGTTGGGATGTTTTCTTGATGTGCACTTACCCTTCATATAATACTCTGTCTTATACATATGAGTTTCTGTGGATTTTTTTCTCTAAAGTACCCAGACTAACACCGTTAGAAACAGGTTACTTCTTTTCTCTGAACATATTATGTTCATCTTTGACAAACCCCTTTCTGCTTTTGCTGAACTTACAGCTAGTGTTCTGAAAAATGTTCTGAAAATAAAATCTTTGAATACTTTCAGGAATTGCATAATTCACTCATAACATTTCATGGGAATTTGGAACATAACACAAAACTAAAACAAATGACAGCATGCCAACATCTGGGTTTTGGGCACTTTTTCTATTTATGTTATTTCTTTGTTTACAGCAGTAACAAATTAAAGGGAATCAAGATGCAACATTTCATCAAAAATATAATGAGTTTTATGAACTGAATAAATAATTATTATGAGCAGAGGTCCACCATAGTTTTTATATCTATGGATGCTTAGAATGTGCTGTTATGCAGATGATCATTAATGAAGAATTAGGAACATAAAGCGTGGGCCAGCTGCTGAAGTTTGAGAGAACCCAGATCACAAGTGCAATTTTAACAACCAGTTTGAGAACTCAACAAAAATTAGATTTCAATTCTGCCAAACCAGTGTGATCTGACTGAATCCCACCATGGTGCTTAATTGTATGCCAACCATTCTTATGTTTGAGCCCACTGTTACAATCACTGTGTCAACCTATTTCCTTAAGGGTCTCTCTCTTTATTTCTAACTCTCTACTTTATCAAATATGATGTACATTTTGGGGGGCTTCTCCTTCCTGATAACATGCCAAAAACTGTGAGGCAAAATCCCATTATTTTCATTTCTAAGGAATATTTTATTGTACTTCTTCCAAGATGTATTTGTTACTCTGGTAACCCATGCTATAGTTCATATTCATCTCCAACACCATAATTCGTTCACATTGATTGTTTCCCTGTCTTCTTATTCATTGCCCAAACTTCACCTGTGTATGGAGGCAAATTAAAATATCATGATTTGGGTCAGGTATACCACAGTCTTTAAACTGACATCTTTAGTTTTTAATACTCTAAAGAGGTCTTATGTAGCAGATTTTCTCAA